TAACTACCTCTGAAGAGAGGCTTACAAAGATAACCTCTTTCTTTACTCAAGTAAAAATAGAAAAGTGAATCATTTGGGGGAAGTAATTCAGATGTAACCTTGCCTGCAGGTCAAAAGATGACTAATTTGTGTCTTCCTCAGTTATAATGCTGAGGGGGAAATACTTTTGAAATAGCCAAAACCTTTTTTTTTAGTTCCATGAAGAAATTAACTTTCCCAAATTGTAAAAAAAAGAACACTAAAATTTAATTTTCCAGAAATGTTGAGCAAGGAAACTAACAGAAGAATTTGCCTTGTAACTGTTTATGATGGCCCCTGAGGTACTATATAGTAATAATCATTTTTGTACTGGATTTTAAATAAAGGGAAAAACTGACTACATTAAGAAAAAAATTGAAAGTCTTGGAGTTAAAGAGAAAATGGATCTGAAAAAGAAAGTCACTATGAACTGGATGTAATTATGAGCATTCCTCACCTATTAAGCTTTTGAGCAGTCTTGCAGCCCTGGAATTTACTCAAGAATTTAACAGTAAGCAAAAAAGGCGCCTGTGATAAGAAGTTTTAAATCACAGAGCAAAAAAACTAGACTTTATTGAGAGACTTTACTTATATGAGAGACACTTACTCAGAGTTAATTTAAACCTTAACTCTTAGTTTAAATACAAGTCAACTAAATTGGTTGTTGCTTTTCTAGCACAAAGCACAATGAAAAGGGAGAGAAGAGGTTCTACTGATAGACTGCAGTGAAATGTAACAACAAAAAGTAAAAATATAAAGAGAAAATAAAGGCTCGGTGCCTGTACTTCAGTGAGTAAGGCACCAGCCACATACGCCAAGGATGGTGGGTTCAAGCCCAGCCCAAGCCTGCTAAAGAACAATAACAACTGCAACCAAAAAACAGTCGGGCATTGTGGTGGGCGCCTGTAGTCCTAGCTACTCAGGAGGCTAAAGCAAGAGAATCACTTAAGCCCAAGAGTTTGAGGTTGCTATGAGCTGAGACATCATGGCACTCTATCTGGGGCGACATAGTGAGACTCTGTCTAAAAAATAATAATAATAATAATAATAATAAAAGAGAAAATAATCATGCAAAATTACTGCAGACTACAGCTGGTGTAAAGGAATGTCTGAAAAGGCCTTCGTTATCACTATACAGGGTGGACATAAAGTTTGTGTGCAATTGGTAATGTCTACCCTGTATAGAACACATAATAATCAATATTAATGTTAATGATTCTGAGTCAATAAAAGGTAAAATTACATTCAGCATGTTTTAGGTATATAAATATACAACATAATTTAACAAAAATTCTTCTAAAAGTAAAAATGAAATATAATGAAAATACTAGTTTTTAAATAGGTAATCTCAGCTATCCAAAACAATGATTTTATTTTATGTGATAGTTGTGATAATTTATGCCCAGTGTTCTGAATACAGGTAAATGTAAAGAGTTTGTTAATTGACCGTAATATCTATGCTTGTGCCTTTCTCTTGCTTATTGCTTTCCCAGGAGCTGATATTCAGTATCACGACAGTCAACTTCAACTACTCAAGAACTGATTCTGGCATAGAAAACCACCAGTTGTGTCCTAGCACAACCATGAGACTTCTGATTTGGATTCTGAAGATCTGGGCTTAAATTCTGCATTTATTATTTTACAAGCTATATAACTTTCAAAAAGGTAATTCACTTCAGTTTCCACACCTGTTTAAAAAAACAGATATTCTAAGTTGTTTCTAATAATTTACTTTTCTGGGAGGTGCCTGTGGCTCAAAGGAGTAGGGCGCTGGCCCCATATGCTGGAGGTAGCAGGTTCAAACCCAGCCCCAGCCAAAAACTGCAAAAAACAAACAAACAAACAAAAAATAATAATTTACTTTTCTACCAAATGCATACATTTAATACTAATTATGGGTACATTAGAGAAATTAAAAAAAATTAAAAGTCACTACATTGATCTCCTATAAATCACTTGAGTACCTTTCTTGCTACTCTGGGCTAAATTTTTTAGTAACAAGAAAAGAACTTCTTCTGTCTTTGGGTTAATCTCTGAAGCTGCAAAACCATTTGCAAATGTAAAAAGGTGGGATATTACTTACCCTGATAAATGTAAGATAATATTGGTCAAGAAACACTGAAACAATTTTGTGTCTCTTAGGTTCACCTAGTACATGCTATTAAGATTTTTGCTTATAAAAAGGCATTTCACATTTACACCTAAAAAAAGGTCTACAAATTTAAAATTATCCACATCTTACCAACATCATCTGAAACACTATAACAACTGCAACTTGAAAATGCATGATGTTAACACCTTGATGTAAAATAATGCTTCTACAGCTGTTTTTACTGCCCAGGACACATTCTCCTTTCTTCTCATTTTATATCTCTGACTTTTGTTCAGAGAGCGCAACTCCTGTCACTCTCAATCAAAGTGGCTTGGGTAGGGTTTATCCTAACCTAGTTCCTGGGATGGGACTATTATTCAGGCAGAAGCCAATCAAGACCATATGCTAATCCTAAACCACAGCAAGAGATTGAGAGTTATGCACATGAACCAAATTAACCCAAACAATACTCATTCTGGGGCTTCTGCTAGAGTGACAGAAGCAGAACTGATAGAAAAGTTTCTTTCCTTGGGGAGTCGCTGAGAAGTAAGGTACAAACACGCAAACATCTTATTATTATTTTTGGGGGGGGCCGGGTCTGCGTTTGAACCCGCCACCTCCAGCATATGAGACCGGCACCTTACTCCTTTGAGCCACAGGCGCCACCCCAAACATCTTAGTATGAACGGAAAGACTACTTAAAAATAGAGAAGTTCAGAACTAAAAAAAGATGCCTATAACATCAATTCAATTTCTGAAGGCAGCTATGTCTGAAGTTATCAACTTTTATTTAAGCCAATTTGAACTGGGATCACTTCTGATCATAAGATGCCTGATACACAACCCAAAATATCAATAAATTCCTTTTGAATTGTGGAGAAATT